GTTCAGATCGAATGAGTAATATAATTAGATCGGGAACAAATTTAGATAGAATGAGTAATAGAATTAGATCGAGGACAAATTCAGATCGAATGGGTAATAGAATTAGATCGGGAACAAGTTCATATCGAATGAGTAATAGTACTCAGGGACAACTGGATCATTTTGTTATTTTGCAATAGAAAGAAAAAAAATTCAATAATCCGGGAAGGTGAAGACAATAATGCTCAACTAATCGGGGACAAGTTCAGATCAAATGAGTAATAGAATTAGATCGGAGACAAGTTCATATCGAATGAGTAATAGAATTAGATAGGAGACAAGTTCAGATCGAATGAGTAATAGAATTCGATTGAGGACAAGTTGATATCGAATGAGTAATAGAATGAGTAATAGTACTCGGAGACAACTGGATCATTTTTTTATTTTGCAATAGAAGGAAAAAAAATTCAATAATCCGGGTAGGTGAAGACAATAATGTTCAACTAATCTATGGACCAAAATAGATGACCAAAATAGATGGTGAAAAATCTAAATAAAATTCGAAACCCTTAAATGAGAACTATTGGTGGACAAGATGTGAGATTCATGATAATATAAAGATGATGAAATCGGAGACAAGATCTAGACGCAACAGAGAATTTCCAATCGGAGACAAGATCTGGAGACAAAAACGAAAGTTAATTGTATAGTCTCAAGAGATATAATGTTTTTTTGGTTAAAGTGCACGTGTTTCGAGGGAAATAGAGATAAATAGGGAAGCTAATGTTGTAGGAAAAATAAATAGGGAGGAGAGATAAATAGGAAGGAAAGATAAATTGGGAAGATAAATAGGGAAGACAAATTAGTAATTCAAATACTAAATGTGGTATGAGTTGAAAGAATAGAAAGAATGTGGTAGATTTTGAAAGGAATTGGGAATAAGTGGTAGATTTTGTAGTTTTTCATTATAAATATATATTATATATATATTAAACCAAATGTCCTCACGGTAAAATGGATTAAATATATTTTTTTGTTGTCAAATGAAATATCATTTCAAGAATTTAGTTTATTAGAAATATTTTATTAAATGAAACAATAGTTTATTATTAAACTAAATTGTTTCATTTAACTAAAACACTTTATATGATGGTATTTCATCCCTGATTTTTGTGATTATGGGTATGTTATTAACTTTAGAACATGCAAAACAAGAGAATTCATGGGACTGAAAAGTCTTAGACCATCCTCAACGAGGGGATATTAAATTGGGATTTTTTAGAATTGTTTAATATTGATTTTGAAAAAATAGATTTTGTCGCCGAAAAAAAAAAGTCGAAGAAAGAGAGAGAAACAACAGCTTTTTTTTGTTGCCAAAGATAATACAGCGAGACTTTGTTTTCCTATCTTAGCAAAAAGCTTCAACCAATCTAATTGCACCACGTCATCGAGTCTTATGGGCTCTATCAACTCCCATTTTAGAAGCGCTTCTTTATCTGTTAGACTATTTTTGATTATTTTATGATCCAAAAATAATAAGAGCCCATGATAAAAATTGTTAGACCATAATTATCGGGCCATCACAAGGCCTGTTCTAAGATTTTAATATTGATAAAATTTATAAAAAGTGGGCTTAGATCGCATCTCATGTTCTCGGGCTAGAACTGTTTTTGGCCCGATCTTGTGTGCACGTGTCATCCGCTCATTCGTTGCGATTTTTGATAACGAAAATCGTTTTTCATTTGTGACAAAATCGAAAACAATCTAGGGTTTGTCTCAACCCTTCTCTCTCGTAGCGATTTTGCCGGCTTCTTTCCTTCGCTGATTACGCACCGATTTCCGGCCAAATCGGAGCCAAATTGATTGCTGCTTCACCTCGCCGTCGTTCTCTGCTGTCTCCCAAAGCCCGTAGGTACGTGTTATCATCTGAAAGTTTGAGATTTAGTGGATTTAGTTTTACAAGTCGATGTAGGTTTAGGTTTGGGTTTTAGTATCCGAATATATGAGATACAGTCGATGTAGACTATGGGTTTGGTTGCTTGTTGTTCTGATTTGCCATCAATCTGTGTGTACTTTAGTCAATGAGAAAGTTTAGGTTTTTGGTTGGAAGGTTAGGCGTTTAACTGTGATGGGATCGAGTTTTTGGCTAGCAGAGGCGAGTTGTGAATTTATTAACATCTGGTGCAAATTAGGGTTTAATGTTTTTGTTATGAGTATTGTGTCTTTTTTGCTTGATTAAACTGACCACAAGTGTTTGTTTTGGTTGTGAGACATGTAGGTGAGGTAGCTCTGAAGTGTAGATCGGAGTATCAACATCAACAACCATTTCCTGCCAACTATAAGGTAATACCCTTCTCAATATAGTTGTGATTTAGCTTCTGAAGTAGCTTGTTTAGAGTTCTTGTTCTTGTTTTCTGATGATTGCTTAAACTGAAGTATGTATGTTGTATGTATCTTGTTTTATGATGGTAGTTGTTTTGTAAGTTGTATCTAAGTTGTTTTGTGAGAGTTGAGTAGTTTAAGCGATGCTTGTTGAAACTGGTAGTGCTTTGTTAAAACTTTGGTTGTAACAGAACAGACTTTGTCTTGATGATTAGTTAGGTTGACACGAAATCCACAAAAACTTAATGAAGTTGTAACAACAACTAAATGACATCCATTAAAAGCTACTTCAAAACTTAAAAATAGTTAGTTGTGTAAAATTGTAATAAGTGTGGATTGGACATTGGTAGTTCAAGGTTAGCTCTCATTATTATGAGTTTATTTGCTAGGTTTAAAGATTGTTTGGTTGGAAAGTGTCTTTATTCCTGAGTTGATTGAGGTAGGTTCTGGACATTATTTAAGACTAATAACTAGTGTAACTTACCTCTATTAAACCAGAGGTAAGTTAAATTCATTGTCTCTCATATTCTCTTTTCTTCTGGCATATCTCCTCTTTGAATCTCTCTTTTCCCCAATATTTTACTTCTCTCTATCATATCTCCTCTTTTCATCACATTCTTCCTTCTATTATTCTGTTGGATATGGATTCAAATAACCATCCAAATAGGCAGTCTCAATCTCAACCATACTATAGTCTCCAAAACTTCCCTTACGGCAAATTTTCTTCCAATGCAAACATTTCCTTCTCTCAAATCCCTTCTTTTAGTTCACAACCGAGCTCACCACCAGTTCAAGCTGCAAGTCAACCAGAAAAGACACCAAGGGAGAGAAGGATTTGGACCAGCCAGGATGATCTTGTTCTTATAAGCGGTTGTGTATACACATCAAAGGATGTGATAATTGGGAATGACCAAAGGTCAGGGGCCTTTTGGAAGCGCATAGGAGAGTATTATGCTTCTAGTACTCATGTACTAAATGGGGCTGAGCCAAGGCTCCCTGACCACTGTAGGCAAAGATGGCAAAAAATCCAAAAGATGGTGGCCAGGTTCTGTGGATTTTATGCTGAAGCATTTAGTGAGAAAGCTAGTGGCATGAATGATTTGGACATTATCAACAATGCTCACCAACTTTACTATCAGCTGTACAAGAAGAAGTTCAGTTTGGAGTATGCATGGAATGCGCTGCGCTACGAACCAAAATGGTTGAACTTGGAGCCTATGAACCCTACTCCAAAGACAACCAGCTCTAACAAAAGAAAAGCCGATGATGCTCCACCATCTGCTGGATCAAATGTTTTTGAGGAAGAGAGCAGGCCACCAGGAATAAAGGCCATGAAAGCCAAGAGGAACAAAGGGAAAGGCAAGGTTGGACCAGCTTTGGCGACTGATGATAACATCTGGGAGAAGAAAGAGAAGGATATGGCTCAGAGGGAAAAACTCCAAAAGATGTCTGTTTACAAGACTCTCCTTGCAAGGAGTGAATCACTGGATGAAGATGAAAAAGTTCTTAAGAAGAAGCTAATGGCCGAGCTGTTTTAAATTAGGGAAAAACTAAGTTCATTTAACTATGTCTGATATGTCTGATTTAACTATGTTTTTCATTATGCATATGTTTCTGTTAGCTAAGTATGTGTGTTTGTAAATGTTATACTTCTATGTAACCTATCTGAACCTTGTTCAACTTCTATGCTTATATTTATAATGAATCAGTTATGTTAATTGAGGTTTGGTTTCAGGTTCAAGAAGACATGGGACTTGATTCTATTGCTCTGAAGAGGAGGCTGATAGCTGTTACTTTGGAGGCCCATTCACCAGTTTGTGGACCTTTGGTAATGTAACTTTTGGATTGTGAGTCACATGACTTTGTTCCTTTTGGTATCAATCGAGTATGTAAGCTAACTTTTGCAAATTGTAATCGAAAATGTAATGTCAACAGAGTCACATGTCAGGTTTGGATTGTAGTCGAGAGTCACATGTGTTTGGATAGTAGTATTAAAGCGAGAGTCACATGTGTTCGGCTTGTATTATTAAAGCAAGAGTAACAAAATTTCTTAACATATATATGTGATTCCCACCTTCGTTTCTCTCATCAAAATCAAACATCCCATAACTCTCATAAACACTACAAAAATCCCTTTCTCTCCTGTCTTGGAAAAACACTTCTCTTCTCTCATTCTCTACAATTTTCAACCATATAAACCATTTCAACCATTCCGTTTTTATGGCATCGTCTTCCAACAATTTTGACTTTCATAATTCATCTAGTAGTGATGATGATTTTTTTGACCAATATATCGACGCACAAATTGATAATCTATGTGATGGGATCGAAGAGGTTATTCCGACCGAAAGGAAGAAGCGTACTTATATAGAAAGAAATCGGGAAGAAGGGCACGAACAGTTGTGTAAGGATTACTTCAATGATAATCCGACTTTCACGGAGAACCTATTTCGCAGAAGGTTTCGCATGAACAAGCCATTGTTCCTGCGTATTGTCAATCGTCTCGCAGCAGAAGTGTCATATTTTCAACCAAAAAAAGATGCCACTTTCCGGAATGGTATATCACCGCTACAACAATGTACTGCAGCAATTCGACAATTAGCATATGGGGCTGCGGCCGACTCGGTTGACGAATATGTACGTATTGGTGAAACGACGGCACGTAAATGTTTGGAACATTTCGTCGTTGCAATAGTTGATTTGTTTGGCACTGAATACCTACGTCGACCCACAACAAAGGATCTTGAAAGGCTACTCTTTTATGGAGAAAAGCGGGGTTTTCCTAGGATGGTTGGAAGCATCGACTGCATGCATTGGAAGTGGAAGAATTGCCCAACCGCTTGGAAAGGAATGTATTCACGAGGGACCGAGAAACCAACAATTGTCTTGGAGGCGGTAGCTTCACAAGATCTCTGGATATGGCACGCCTTTTTTGGAGCGCCAGGTACAAGTAACGATTTAAATGTTCTTGCTCAATCCCCAGTATTTAATGACATTATTTACGGTCGAGCTCCCCAAATGAACTACTATGTCAACGGAAGGGAGTATAATTTGTCTTACTATTTGACGGATGGAATTTACCCTGAATGGGCGACATTTGTGAAATCCATCCAACGACCACAACACCCGAAACATCGTTTGTTTGCAGAACATCAAGAAGGTGCACGAAAAGATGTTGAGCGTGCATTTGGAGTCCTGCAATCTAGATTCGCCATGATTAAAAATCC